CGAGGGAAAGGCCGATGCTGGAAGTAGGAGGTGAAAACTTGCATATTAGGGAGACGATTTTAATCGGCCACTTTCCTTCCTCCTGGAGGCACCCCTCCAGCAGGGAAGTTTGTGAAGGAGACAGGGCGACCCGATCATATAGATGTTCGCTGACGAGGTTGGGGGGGGGGTCTTATCCAAGAACTGTTCCTTGGGCAGCCTCCAATCTCCTCAAGCAGGATGGGAGGCCCTGTTGCCTGAACAGGGCCAATGAATGTAGGTCCTTTTAAGGGTGGAAGAAAAGAAGGCAATAGCTCTTCTATAGTGGGAATAAAAGGGTCCAGTCCGTCCTCTTCCTCACTAGAAAAAAATCTCTTCCTGATTACCCATAGAAGGGAATGAAGAAGGGAGAGGGGTCTCCTTGTTATTCTGGCTCCTGCTTTTCCTTCTCCTGTAAATCTCCTGAATTCCCTCCAGGTGGAGAAGATGGGTGGTCTGATTCACTGCAACGTGGCGGATAAAGAGGATACAACGCAGAGCGTCCCAGCGCCCAGGTGGTCAAAATGGTAACATTAGTAAAATGACCTTGCTCATATTCTCTTTTCAGGCAGGGACCTACCTGCTCCCATAACTCTAAATCTAAGGTTTCTTGATGAGGAAACCAAGGGCATTCCTGCCGAATTAAGAGCATAAACTTGGCCGGGCGCGGTGGCTCAAGCCTGTAATCCCAGCACTTTGGGAGGCCGAGGCGGGTGGATCACGAGGTCAAGAGACCGAGACCATCCTGGTCAACATGGTGAAACCCCATCTCTATACTAAAAATACAAAAAATTAGCTGGGTGTGGTGGCGCGTGCCTGTAGTCCCAGCTACTCAGGAGGCTGAGGCAGGAGAATTGCCTGAACCCAGGAGGTGGAGGTTACAGTGAGCCGAGATTGTGCCATTGCACTCCAGCCTGGGTAACAAGAGCGAAACTCCGTCTCAGAGAAAAAAAAAAAAAAAAAAAAAAAAAAAAAAAAAAAAAAGAGTGACCT